AGTGAAATAATTGAGGTTGGAGAGAAGAATGGATCAACAAAGAATCTGATGAATGGACACTCTGAAGGTGAAATGTGGGGACTTGCACCCTCATCCAACAAAACCCTTTGTTTGCTTCTGCAAGTGATGATGGGACTGTGAGGGTATGGGATGCCATGAACAAGGTAAGTAATTATGGGATATCACAAATAGGGTAGACCAACAAAACACATGTTTGCTTCTGCAAGGGATGATGGGAATGTGAGGGTATGGGATGCCATGAACAAGGTAAGTAATTATGGGATATCACAAATAGGGTAGACCAACAAAACACATGTTTGCTTCTGCAAGGGATGATGGGACTGTGAGGGTATGGGATGCAATGAACAAGGTAAGTAATTATGGGATATCACAAATAGGGTAGACCAACAAAACACATGTTTGCTTCTGCAAGGGATGATGGGAATGTGAGGGTATGGGATGCCATGAACAAGGTAAGTAATTATGGGATATCACAAACAGGGTAGACCAACAAAACACATGTTTGCATCTGCAAGGGATGATGGGAATGTGAGGTTATGGGATGCCATGAACAAGGTAAGTAATTATGGGATATCACAAATAGGGTAGACCAACAAAACACGTTTGCTTCTGCAAGGGATGATGGGACTGTGAGGGTATGGGATGCCATGAACAAGGTAAGTAATTATGGGATATCACAAATAGGGTAGACCAACAAAACACATGTTTGCTTCTGCAAGGGATGATGGGAATGTGAGGGTATGGGATGCCATGAACAAGGTAAGTAATTATGGGATATCACAAATAGGGTAGACCAACAAAACACATGTTTGCTTCTGCAAGGGATGATGGGAATGTGAGGGTATGGGATGCCATGAACAAGGTAAGTAATTATGGGATATCACAAATAGGGTAGACCAACAAAACACATGTTTGCTTCTGCAAGGGATGATGGGAATGTGAGGGTATGGGATGCCATGAACAAGGTAAGTAATTATGGGATATCACAAATAGGGTAGACCAACAAAACACATGTTTGCATCTGCAAGGGATGATGGGACTGTGAGGGTATGGGATGCCATGAACAAGGTAAGTAATTATGGGATATCACAAATAGGGTAGACCAACAAAACACATGTTTGCTTCTGCAAGGGATGATGGGAATGTGAGGGTATGGGATGCCATGAACAAGGTAAGTAATTATGGGATATCACAAATAGGGTAGACCAACAAAACACATGTTTGCTTCTGCAAGGGATGATGGGAATGTGAGGGTATGGGATGCCATGAACAAGGTAAGTAATTATGGGATATCACAAATAGGGTAGACCAACAAAACACATGTTTGCTTCTGCAAGGGATGATGGGAATGTGAGGGTATGGGATGCCATGAACAAGGTAAGTAATTATGGGATATCACAAATAGGGTAGACCAACAAAACACATGTTTGCTTCTGCAAGGGATGATGGGACTGTGAGGGTATGGGATGCCATGAACAAGGTAAGTAATTATGGGATATCACAAATAGGGTAGACCAACAAAACACATGTTTGCTTCTGCAAGGGATGATGGGAGTGTGAGGGTATGGGATGCCATGAACAAGGTAAGTAATTATGGGATATCACAAACAGGGTAGACCAGCAAAACACATGTTTGCCTCTGCAAGGGATGATGGGAATGTGAGGGTATGGGATGCCATGAACAAGGTAAGTAATTATGGGATATCACAAATAGGGTAGACCAACAAAACACATGTTTGCTTCTGCAAGGGATGATGGGACTGTGAGGGTATGGGATGCAATGAACAAGGTAAGTAATTATGGGATATCACAAATAGGGTAGACCAACAAAACACATGTTTGCTTCTGCAAGGGATGATGGGAATGTGAGGGTATGGGATGCCATGAACAAGGTAAGTAATTATGGGATATCACAAACAGGGTAGACCAACAAAACACATGTTTGCATCTGCAAGGGATGATGGGAATGTGAGGTTATGGGATGCCATGAACAAGGTAAGTAATTATGGGATATCACAAATAGGGTAGACCAACAAAACACGTTTGCTTCTGCAAGGGATGATGGGACTGTGAGGGTATGGGATGCCATGAACAAGGTAAGTAATTATGGGATATCACAAATAGGGTAGACCAACAAAACACATGTTTGCTTCTGCAAGGGATGATGGGAATGTGAGGGTATGGGATGCCATGAACAAGGTAAGTAATTATGGGATATCACAAATAGGGTAGACCAACAAAACACATGTTTGCTTCTGCAAGGGATGATGGGAATGTGAGGGTATGGGATGCCATGAACAAGGTAAGTAATTATGGGATATCACAAATAGGGTAGACCAACAAAACACATGTTTGCTTCTGCAAGGGATGATGGGAATGTGAGGGTATGGGATGCCATGAACAAGGTAAGTAATTATGGGATATCACAAATAGGGTAGACCAACAAAACACATGTTTGCTTCTGCAAGGGATGATGGGACTGTGAGGGTATGGGATGCCATGAACAAGGTAAGTAATTATGGGATATCACAAATAGGGTAGACCAACAAAACACATGTTTGCTTCTGCAAGGGATGATGGGAGTGTGAGGGTATGGGATGCCATGAACAAGGTAAGTAATTATGGGATATCACAAACAGGGTAGACCAGCAAAACACATGTTTGCCTCTGCAAGGGATGATGGGAATGTGAGGGTATGGGATGCCATGAACAAGGTAAGTAATTATGGGATATCACAAACAGGGTAGACCAACAAAACACATGTTTGCATCTGCAAGGGATGATGGGAATGTGAGGGTATGGGATGCCATGAACAAGGTAAGTAATTATGGGATATCACAAATAGGGTAGACCAACAAAACACATGTTTGCTTCTGCAAGGGATGATGGGACTGTGAGGGTATGGGATGCCATGAACAAGGTAAGTAATTATGGGATATCACAAATAGGGTAGACCAACAAAACACATGTTTGCTTCTGCAAGGGATGATGGGAATGTGAGGGTATGGGATGCCATGAACAAGGTAAGTAATTATGGGATATCACAAATAGGGTAGACCAACAAAACACATGTTTGCTTCTGCAAGGGATGATGGGAATGTGAGGGTATGGGATGCCATGAACAAGGTAAGTAATTATGGGATATCACAAATAGGGTAGACCAACAAAACACATGTTTGCTTCTGCAAGGGATGATGGGAATGTGAGGGTATGGCATGCCATGAACAAGGTAAGTAATTATGGGATATCACAAACAGGGTAGACCAGCAAAACACATGTTTGCTTCTGCAAGGGATGATGGGAATGTGAGGGTATGGGATGCCATGAACAAGGTAAGTAATTATGGGATATCACAAACAGGGTAGACCAGCAAAACACATGTTTGCTTCTGCAAGGGATGATGGGAATGTGAGGGTATGGGATGCCATGAACAAGGTAAGTAATTATGGGATATCACAAACAGGGTAGACCAACAAAACACATGTTTGCATCTGCAAGGGATGATGGGAATGTGAGGGTATGGGATGCCACGAACAAGGTAAGTAATTATGGGATATCACAAACAGGGTAGACCAACAAAACACATGTTTGCATCTGCAAGGGATGATGGGAATGTGAGGGTATGGGATGCCACAAACAAGGTAAGTAATTATGGGATATCACAAACAGGGTAGACCAACAAAACACATGTTTGCTTCTGCAAGGGATGATGGGAATGTGAGGGTATGGGATGTTATGACCAAGGTAAGTAATTATGGGATATCACAAACAGGGTAGACCAGCAAAACACATGTTTGCCTCTGCAAGGGATGATGGGAATGTGAGGGTATGGGATGCCATGAACAAGGTAAGTAATTATGGGATATCACAAATAGGGTAGACCAACAAAACACATGTTTGCTTCTGCAAGGGATGATGGGACTGTGAGGGTATGGGATGCAATGAACAAGGTAAGTAATTATGGGATATCACAAATAGGGTAGACCAACAAAACACATGTTTGCTTCTGCAAGGGATGATGGGAATGTGAGGGTATGGGATGCCATGAACAAGGTAAGTAATTATGGGATATCACAAACAGGGTAGACCAACAAAACACATGTTTGCATCTGCAAGGGATGATGGGAATGTGAGGTTATGGGATGCCATGAACAAGGTAAGTAATTATGGGATATCACAAATAGGGTAGACCAACAAAACACGTTTGCTTCTGCAAGGGATGATGGGACTGTGAGGGTATGGGATGCCATGAACAAGGTAAGTAATTATGGGATATCACAAATAGGGTAGACCAACAAAACACATGTTTGCTTCTGCAAGGGATGATGGGAATGTGAGGGTATGGGATGCCATGAACAAGGTAAGTAATTATGGGATATCACAAATAGGGTAGACCAACAAAACACATGTTTGCTTCTGCAAGGGATGATGGGACTGTGAGGGTATGGGATGCCATGAACAAGGTAAGTAATTATGGGATATCACAAATAGGGTAGACCAACAAAACACATGTTTGCTTCTGCAAGGGATGATGGGAGTGTGAGGGTATGGGATGCCATGAACAAGGTAAGTAATTATGGGATATCACAAACAGGGTAGACCAGCAAAACACATGTTTGCCTCTGCAAGGGATGATGGGAATGTGAGGGTATGGGATGCCATGAACAAGGTAAGTAATTATGGGATATCACAAACAGGGTAGACCAACAAAACACATGTTTGCATCTGCAAGGGATGATGGGAATGTGAGGGTATGGGATGCCATGAACAAGGTAAGTAATTATGGGATATCACAAATAGGGTAGACCAACAAAACACATGTTTGCTTCTGCAAGGGATGATGGGACTGTGAGGGTATGGGATGCCATGAACAAGGTAAGTAATTATGGGATATCACAAATAGGGTAGACCAACAAAACACATGTTTGCTTCTGCAAGGGATGATGGGAATGTGAGGGTATGGGATGCCATGAACAAGGTAAGTAATTATGGGATATCACAAATAGGGTAGACCAACAAAACACATGTTTGCTTCTGCAAGGGATGATGGGAATGTGAGGGTATGGCATGCCATGAACAAGGTAAGTAATTATGGGATATCACAAACAGGGTAGACCAGCAAAACACATGTTTGCTTCTGCAAGGGATGATGGGAATGTGAGGGTATGGGATGCCATGAACAAGGTAAGTAATTATGGGATATCACAAACAGGGTAGACCAGCAAAACACATGTTTGCTTCTGCAAGGGATGATGGGAATGTGAGGGTATGGGATGCCATGAACAAGGTAAGTAATTATGGGATATCACAAACAGGGTAGACCAACAAAACACATGTTTGCATCTGCAAGGGATGATGGGAATGTGAGGGTATGGGATGCCACGAACAAGGTAAGTAATTATGGGATATCACAAACAGGGTAGACCAACAAAACACATGTTTGCATCTGCAAGGGATGATGGGAATGTGAGGGTATGGGATGCCACAAACAAGGTAAGTAATTATGGGATATCACAAACAGGGTAGACCAACAAAACACATGTTTGCTTCTGCAAGGGATGATGGGAATGTGAGGGTATGGGATGTTATGACCAAGTAAAGAATACTACGAACAAAGTAAATCTTCATTGCCGTTGATAGCTACAATTCTTATGGCTCAATTGTGCATATCA